CCTGGCTTAGGAGGCCAGTGCCTTATCCATTAGGCCGCTGGGGCAGGACACAGCGAGCCACGGGCAGCTGGAGGGTCGGTGACATGTCCCAAGAATTCTCCTTTCCAATGAGGCATCCCAATGTACTAGGCAATTTTTCTAGGTTAAACGATTTGTCCTCATGCATGCAAACAATAAATTGCACTTAATAGAGGGTGGTTGCCATACTTCACCCTCTGGTTATGGGCCAAGGGAACCAATGTTTACACCCAGGGAATTTTAAAATGACAGGCAAAGGAGCAAAGGTGGCTTTTGCAAGCAGAGTGGCGCAGCGGAAGCGTGCTGGGCCCATAACCCAGAGGTCGATGGATCGAAACCATCCTCTGCTAAGAGAGCTTGCGCATGTCATGCATGAGAACCAGTCTTTTATGATTTTCGTAGCTCGACAGTGAAAAACAAAGTAATCTTGAACTTGCAAATACAGCATGAAGGCTTAGAAAGAAGTCAAAATAGTCCTTCTAAAGAACTGCATTTGTGTGTTAACCCAGATTAAGTGCCTTGTTCATAGGGCCGCCTCAATGTAAAGGAGAAGTATTGCGACAAGTCACTAAGTCTCCAGTTGCCCAATAACTTGCTTGTCCTTTTGCTGTACCCTAATGGATTATGCACTGACCATTTAAGCCACAGGCTGAGTTTGAGCGCCCCTAGAGGCAGACCAAAGCAGAGTGGCGCAGCGGAAGCGTGCTGGGCCCTTAAAGGGTTTTCATTTACGCATATAGATACAACTTGCAAGACGTTTTGCTCAATAGGCAATAGGTCGGTGACATGTCCCGAGAATTCTCCTTTCCAATGAGGCATCCCAATGTACTAGGCATTTTTTCTAGGTTAAACGATTTGTCCTCATGCATGCAAACAATAAATTGCACTTAGTAGAGGGTGGTTGCCATACTTCACCCTCTGGTTATGGGCCAAGGGAACCAATGTTTACACCTAGGTCATTTTAAAATGACAGGCAAAGGAGCAAAGGTGGCTTTTGCAAGCAGAGTGGCGCAGCGGAAGCGTGCTGGGCCCATAACCCAGAGGTCGATGGATCGAAACCATCCTCTGCTAAGAGAGCTTGCGCATGTCATGCATGAGAACCAGTCTTTTATGATTTTCGTAGCTCGACAGTGAAAAACAAAGTAATCTTGAACTTGCAAATACAGCATCAAGGCTTAGAAAGAAGTCAAAATAGACCTTCTACAGAACTGCATTTGTGTGTTAACCCAGATTAAATTGCCCAGTAACTTGCTTGTCCTTCTGCGGTACCCTAATAGATTATGCACTGACAGTCTAATCCACAGGCTGAGTTCGAGTGCCTCATAGGGCAGTCCGAAGCAGAGTGGCGCAGCGGAAGCGTGCTGGGCCCATAACCCAGAGGTCGATGGATCGAAACCATCCTCTGCTAAGCGTGCATGCATATGTCATGCATGAAAACTAGTCTTTTATGATTTTGGTAGCTCGACAGTATAAGACAAAGTACTCTTGAACTCGCAAATACAGCATCAAGGCTTAGAAAGAAGTCAAAATAGTCCTTCTACAGAACTGCATTTGTGTGTTAACCCAGATTAAGTGCCTTGTTCATAGGGCCGCCTCAATGTAAAGGAGAAGTATTGCGACAAGTCACTAAGTCTTCAGTTGCCCAATAACTTGCTTGTCCTTTTGCTGTACCCTAATGGATTATGCACTGACCATTTAAGCCACAGGCTGAGTTCGAGCGCCCCTGGAGGCAGACCAAAGCAGAGTGGCGCAGCGGAAGCGTGCTGGGCCCTTAAAGGGTTTTCATTTACGCATATAGATACAACTTGCAAGACGTTTCGCTCAATAGGCAAAAGAATTTAAAAGTCTAGGATTTGAACAAGGACTCTTAGCTTCTCTTTTATAGATGAGATTAGATAAAATAAGAAAAAGGCAGCAGCTTTCACAAGGCACCCAAGTTGTAACTGTACCTTTAAAAAAAATCTCTCTCAGCAGAGGGTGATTTTTATCCGTCGACCTCTGGGTTATGAGTCGAACACACTTCCACCTCGCCACTCTGACATTAACCACCCCAGATGGGACTCGAACCCACAATCCCTGGCTTAGGAGGCCAGTGCCTTATCCATTAGGCCACTGGGGCAGGACACAGCGAGCCACGGGCAGCTGGAGGGTCGGTGACATGTCCCAAGAATTCTCCTTTCCAATGAGGCATCCCAATGTACTAGGCAATTTTTCTAGGTTAAACGATTTGTCCTCATGCATGCAAACAATAAATTGCACTTAATAGAGGGTGGTTGCCATACTTCACCCTCTGGTTATGGGCCAAGGGAACCAATGTTTACACCCAGGGAATTTTAAAATGACAGGCAAAGGAGCAAAGGTGGCTTTTGCAAGCAGAGTGGCGCAGCGGAAGCGTGCTGGGCCCATAACCCAGAGGTCGAAGGATCGAAACCATCCTCTGCTAAGAGAGCTTGCGCATGTCATGCTAGTGGTGGGCAAAGCGAGGCTTCGTGAAACACTGAAACTATCGAAGCAAATGTGTCGAAGCTTCGAAACGTTTCGAAACACCACTCTACGGCGACACCTAGTGGTCATTTTAATTGTATTTCACTGAAACAGCTTCAGCAAAGAACAGTTGAGCAAATTAGGGTATGAAACCCCACTTTGTAGCCCTGAATGTACAGGTGGGTTAGACGAGCGGATAGAGTCCGTGACAACCAAGCGGGAATAATGGGATCGAATCCATACTGAAACAATAATTTTGAAATGCTTTAATACCAGTTGGTAATGCTTTGTTATTGTATCGTTTTGTTTCAACATTGCTCTGACATACGAATAAACACCTTGTAAATAAATTTGTATTGTTTTGTTCATAAAACAGGGTTGTTGCTAGATCAGATACAGTTGTGGCCAGAAGTTAACAATAATTATTTATATTATTAATTAAATTTCCCATTGTATTTTATTAACGTCTATCCAAAACCTAAACCCATCACAGTTCTGTAAAAATATGAATTATTGTTTTACAGTGTTACAAAAATGATGCTAAATTGATGGCGTATCCGCAGCTGTATCCTATCTAGACTACACCATAAAACAGTAACATGATTAAAATATATAAAATCATGATTTTGGAGTATTTGGACTAGTCGGGATTCGAACCCAAAACAAACAGATTGCAACACAGATCTGTTGTGCACACGCACGGTCCACTAAGCCATACAAGACACAGTTACGTCAATGATCATGCCAGTCAAATGGAGATTCTCCGGGTCTTGAAACGCCTCTGAGATGATCAATGCTTTGAATCGCTTTAGTCACGTGACCAAGTGTTTCGAAACACTTAAGTCACGTGACCTGGGTGTTTCGGATCATGCTTCGGTGCAGTGTTTCGAAACACTTGCGCTTCGGGATCTCGACACTGTGTCGAAACGTCAGTTTCACGTCAGCCATCCTTATGTCATGCATGAGAACCAGTCTTTTATGATTTTCGTAGCTCGACAGTGAAAAACAAAGTAATCTTGAACTTGCAAATACAGCATCAAGGCTTAGAAAGAAGTCAAAATAGTCCTTCTAAAGAACTGCATTTGTGTGTTAACCCAGATTAAATTGCCCAGTAACTTGCTTGTCCTTCTGCGGTACCCTAATAGATTATGCACTGACGATCTAATCCACAGGCTGAGTTCGAGTGCCTCATAGGGCAGTCCGAAGCAGAGTGGCGCAGCGGAAGCGTGCTGGGCCCATAACCCAGAGGTCGATGGATCGAAACCATCCTCTGCTAAGCGTGCATGCATATGTCATGCATGAAAACTAGTCTTTTATGATTTTGGTAGCTCGACAGTATAAGACAAAGTACTCTTGAACTCGCAAATACAGCATCAAGGCTTAGAAAGAAGTCAAAATAGTCCTTCTACAGAACTGCATTTGTGTGTTAACCCAGATTAAGTGCCTTGTTCATAGGGCCGCCTCAATGTAAAGGAGAAGTATTGCGACAAGTCACTAAGTCTTCAGTTGCCCAATAACTTGCTTGTCCTTTTGCTGTACCCTAATGGATTATGCACTGACCTTTTAAGCCACAGGCTGAGTTTGAGCGCCCCTAGAGGCAGAACAAAGTGGCGCAGCAGAAGCGTGCTAGGCACATAACCCAGAGGTCGATGGATCGAAACCATCCTCTGCTAAGAGAGCATGCATATGTCATGCATGAAAACTCTCTTTTATGATTTTGGTAGCTCGACAGTGAAAAACAAAGTACTCTTGAACTCGCAAATACAGCATCAAGGCTTAGAAAGAAGTCAAAATAGTCCTTCTACAGAACTGCATTTGTGTGTTAACCCAGATTAAGTGCCTCGTTCACTGGGCCACCTCATTGTAAAGGAGAAGTATTGCGACGAGTCACTAAGTCTCCATTTGCGTAATAACTTGCTTGTCCTTTTGCGGTACCCTAATGGATTATGCACTGACCATCTAAGCCACAGGTTGAGTTTGAGCGCCACACAGGGCAGTCCAAAGCAGTGGCGCAGCGGAAGCGTGCTAAGTCCATATCCCACAGGTCGATGGATCAAAACCATCCTCTGCTTAGAAAGGTTGCGAATGTACAAGCATGAGAACAAATCCTTTGTGATTTTCATAGCTCGACAGTAAAAAACAAAGTAATTTTGAACTTGCAAGAAGGTTGCTAGTTTGAGTTTCAGCTGGACCAGTTGGCAATTCTCTGTGGAGTTTGCATGTTCTCCCTGTGTAGGTGTGGGTTTCCTCCGGGTGCTCTGCTTTACCCCACAGTACAAAGACATGTGCTATAGGTCAAATCAAAAAACTAAATTTGCTGTAGTGTATATGTATGTGTGTTTTCTAGTACTGGGTTGTGGCTGGAAGGGCATCCACTGCATAAAACATATGCTAGTTGGTGATTCATCCAGCTGTGGCAAGCCCTGATAAATAAGGGACTAAGTAGGAGAAAAATGAATGAATGAATGAATGAATGAATGTGAAACATAGATTCTCACCAGGATGTGGACAGATTGTTGTGATGCTCCACTCATTGATGTCTGGCCTGTAAGTCTGAATCTTCTCATAAGTGCAGGTTCCTCTGTACCCATAATGCCCTCCAGTTACATATACTCTGTCATTCACCACACAAGCGGTTGCGTTTCCCACACCTTTAAAATAAATAATAAAAGACATATTTCTCAAATTTGTTAATTTTTTTAAATGCTCACAAAGCTCCAATTATTTAATCAGACATACAAAACAAACTGTAATATTATGAAACATTTTTTTTCAATTTAAAAATAACAGTGTTATTTTTATTTTTTGTAGAATAACGATATTAATTTCCACATATTTGTATGTAAATTAAATGCAATTTAAAATACAGATTTGCCTCTTTTATGCTAATGTTATGTTGCCATTGATCTTATACCTGGTAAATTTGTTAAATGGCTTTATATTTAACTATTTATTGAAATTCCTACAATATATATTGTGGAATATTTCAAATAAAGTTATATAATAAAGTGCATTCAACTGTAAAATTATTTGCACTAAATCATCTACATCATCCAAGTGGATGCTACACACTGGTGATGGTATGGAGAGACCCGCATTATTATTATCATTATCATTATTAATATATTTATTTAACAACCACCTGTATTCCTGTATTTTGTTTATCACAGGTATTTTTATGCTCACCATTTTATGTTCATCTATCATGTCATATTTCTTTATATGTCACACATATTTCAAAACAAAATAATAGAAATTTGCTCTTTATCGGTGTAGAATATGTATGTTAGTTTATCCTTTTTATTTGTTCTTTTATTATTGCTGTTGTTGGCATTATTATTAATATTATTATTTAACAACCTCCTGTTTTTCTGTATTTTGTTTATTACATGCATGTTGTTATGCTCACCGTTATATGCTGATCGTCTACGTCATATTTCTTTGTTCGCATAATTTCAAAATAAAATAATAAAAATGTTCTCTATTGGTGTAATATATATATATATATATATATATATATATATATATATATATATATATATATATATATATATATATATGTGTGTGTATATAGGGTGTAACGATACGCGTATTCGTATCAAACCGTTCGGAATGAGACTTTTGGTTCGGTACGCATTACGAACCAAACGATTCAATTTACACTAATATCTAAAAAGATAAAAGGGAATAAGTACAAAAAATAATGTTTGCAGTGCAACAACGCTCAACATGGCATCCCAAATGACGTGGCAGACAACAAGCTGCCTTCCCTGCTGTCATGTTAAACAGTAGAGTATCACTTTTGAACTCAGAATATGACTTTATTAAAGCATGCACTCATTAGCAATCTTGCTAGCTTCTGTGTCAGCCTAACTGCTTGTGCTGGCTCCGCCCCCATTGCCCCAGCAACCCTGGACCCCCGGAAGCTTCGGGAGACTCCTGGATGACCGCAAACGAAAGATACTCTTCTGGAAATCGCGCGTCTCCACCCGGTCCTCTCCACTGCATCCCTCCCAGCTCTTCAGGTACATTGGGCACAACTTACCCTCACCACTCAGGTACATCGCACGCACACGCCTCCACCGCTCTTCAGATAAGTCGCGCACCATCACCGCTACCAAGAGAGTGGTGGAAAAAAAATGATCTGAGAGATCCTAATCGGTAGTGAATATGTCGGGTTTTAAGAAAATGTTAAATGTAATAGAGCCCCGTTACATTATTCCTTCATAAGCCCATTTCGGTCAGATAATTCCTGCTTTCAGATCCACTAAAATGGCAGATGACCGTCAAATCAAGCAGATCTGTGCTGTCTGAGGAAAAGGTGGACACTCCTCTTTCTGAAAATAAAGAAATACTTGAAAATAGGTTGAAACTGAGCTCCATATAAAAACTAAATTATTCTTTTCTTTTTATTTGTTTAGCTGCTACAATATTATATTTTTTATAAGCAGCTTTTTGGTTTTGAGTATAAAGAAGGATTTTTTTTATTTGCTGCTAAGCAGAAACCCCGGAAATATAGCTCTATCACTGTTTAAAGTAAAAGAAAACAAAACAGGATCATACTTTTATGATGTTAGTTTTAATACATTAAAAAAATTAAATCAGAGAAATCCACTGGCTTTTTTCTTTTTTTGCTGTATCGAAAATGTACCGAACCGTGACACCACTGTAACACCACTGTATCGTATCGTATCGAACCGTGATTTTTGTGAACCATTACACCCCTAATATATATATATATATATATATATATATATATATATATATATATATATATATATATATATATATATATATATATATATATATATACTTTAATATATCACTGTCATTTATTCTTTAGTTTATTCTTTTTTACTTCTACTATTATTATTGTTGTTGTCATTATTATTATTATTATTATTATGTTTTATTTAACACCCTCCTGTATTCCTATATTTTGTTTATTACATGTATTTTTATGCGCAGTTATATGCGGATCTTTTTTTTTTTCATTTACATATTTACAATTTAAAATAACAAAAATAAAGTAGCTTCATAATAAACATGGGGCAACACAGTGGCTTAGTAGTTAGCACAGTTGCCTCACAGCAAGCACGTAGCATTTCTGTGTAAAGTTTGCATGTACTCCCCATAGTCGTGTGTTTCCTCCTCTATAGGAAATGTGCTATAGGTGAATTCGATTAACTAAATTACCCATAGAGTACAAGTATGATTGAATGTGAGAGTCTTTGTGTGTTTTTCAGTAGTGGGTTGTGGCTGGAAGGGCATCCGCTGCGTAAAACATATGCTAGAATAGCTGGTGGTTCATTCTGCTCTGGCGACCCCTGATAAATAAGGCACTAAGCCGAAGGAAGGGGTGAGGCAGTGGTGCAATAGGTAGTGCTGTCGCCTCACAGCAAGAAGGTCGCTGGGTCGCTGGTTTGAACCTCGGCTCAGTTGGCGTTTCTCCCTGCCTTCGTGTGGGTTTCCTCCGGGTGCTCCGGTTTCCCCCACAGTCCAAAGACATGTGGTACAGGTGTACTATAGGCTAAATTGTCTATAGTGTATGAGAGTGTGTGTGGATGTTTCCCACAGATGGGTTGTGGCTGGAATCTGCTGTCGCTGCATAAAAACTTGCTGGATAAGTTGGCTGTTCATTCTGCTCAAGAAAACGAATGAATAAAAGATAATAAACATAATTTCTCATACCTTGTATCATTTCAGCCACCGGAAACCAAGTCTTCTTCAAAGGATCATAAAATTCAGTTTCTTGAGTAGGAGCGCCTGCTGTATATCCACCTATCACATATACACATCCACGTAACGCCACAGAGCAGTGATAATACCTAGCTGTGATCATCGGACATCCTTCAGTCCATTCATCTGAATCTGTATTATAAATCCACACATTATCTAAAGCATCGACAGTCTCTGTCCTGTACCCTCCGGTCACATAAATATCAGCCCCTAGAAGAACCACACTATAGCTCTCCCTTGCAAAATCAGGCATGTCTTTTCCCTGAACCCACGTGTTGGAAACGGGGTCCCACATGTGAACTTCGCACAAAGGATGCCAATAATATCCACCGATAACATACAAACTGCATGTCGGCTTCTTGCAACAGTCTGAAAAACCTTTACTTGGTTTCAAGGAGGTCAGAATTAAAGATCTCAGTTTGCTCTCAGAGCAACATTTGCGCAGATCTAACGCCATTTTCAGATAAACATCGTCTACGTTAATATGAATGCAGTTGAGGAGCTCTTGAATGTGATCAATTCGAGAAGCTACGTCATAAACGACCCATTTCACGACCGCATCCAATAACGTTGTGTCTTTCCACACATTTAGGTTCTCTGTTGATAAAATCGCCATCAGCTTTTGAAAACCGGTCTCTGGGAATTCATCCTGAAGCGTGACGTCTTCAAAACGACTCAGGATGATCCTCAAAGCCGCTCTTTCCAATGCTGAACAAACATGAAGCTCAGCGAACGAATGCATCCCGAGGCAATTATCAACATCTAGCAGACGAATCAAAAAGTTTTCGCAGGCTTTCTTGAGCGAGTTGAACTGCAGCAGGTCTGCGGCCTCCAGTAGACGTTGTACGTTGTTTTGAGTTATGCCGATTTTGGCGGTGTACACGTAGGTCACCAAAGCACCCAAAATTTCTCCGTCTACGCAAGGTAGGTTGATGGTGTCGTTCGCACGTTCTCTCATGTCTAAGGTGAACATTACTTTGAAATAGGAGCTGCGCGCTGATAGGACGGCTTTGTGGCAGTGGAAGAGCTGTCCCGATGAGGACTGCAGGGCGATGTCGGTGAACAGGCCGCTGTTGTGAAACTCGTGAAGAGCTTCAAGCACTTCTGAAGGGTGAGAGGCATCGTAGAAGTCGTAGGAGTAACCGCTTTGAGCATTCCCGGACATCGCAACTGGAAAAAGAGAGGATTATCGAATGAGAAATTATTCAGATTTATCTCAGTAATGTACATTTTGATCAACATAATACATTTGTTATCAATAACTGAGCATGTTTTTTTTTGTACTGTAAAAAATGCAGGGTTCCAAACAATTCATTGAGGTTGTTCAAACACGAATCGATTAAGTTAATGTAAGAAATTTAAGCAAATTGATTATAAAAACAATGAAGTTCTCCCCAAAAAATCTAAAGAATGGTGTTGTTTAAGATCATTTTACACAGATGAAGTCAATTTTTTTTACTATTTCCCAAACTATGTTTAACAGAGCAAGGAATTTTTCACTGTATTTCCTATAAAATTTTTTCTTTTGGATAAAGTTTGTTTTATTTTGGCTGAAATGAAAGCAGATTTCAATTTTCTTATAATTATTTTAAGGTCAATATTATTAGCTCCCTTAAGCACTATTTTTTTATTATCTACAGAACAAACCAGTGTTACACAATGACTTTTCTAATGACACTAACTTGCCTAATTAAACCTTTAAATGTCTCTTTAAGCTGAATACTAGCATTTTGGTTCGGATGGGCTTTGGCGCGGTACACTTGGCGCGGTAGTGTGAGTGCAAAGTGCGCCTGAGCCCGAAACATGGATAGGCTATATTGACTATTCTTAGTTTTCAATAAACGTGAACTGTCATAGTTTTTTTAAAGATACAAACCCCTCAGCAAACCTCCTAAAATGTGCATCACGAGGAATTTTACGATAATTTATGCGCGTCAAATCTTGTGGATCTGTTCAGCAAAATATTTGACTGCATGTCACTGCATCGAAAACGAGTAAAAATACAAAACAATATAACTAAGGTCGTACTCACACTATGTACAGTTGCCTTGAACCGGGCCAAAGCACACTTGCCCGCACTCACATTAAATTCGAGCCTGGGCACGATTACGTCATCGAGGCTGCGCTGTTCAGTAAGCGCTCTCGCTCAGCACAGTGGACATTTCTCAAGGTATATCAATAGGAATGCGGTGACACACAGTCAAATATTTCGCTGAACAGATCAGCCACTTTTGGCACTCATAAGCAACCATAAAGTTCTCGTGCTTCAGGAATTAGGGGATTGCTGAAGGTGCGCAGCTGTCGTGCAGTGAGGGGTTTGCATTTTTAATAATCTATGATAGTTTGCGTTCACTGAACAGTAAGAATGATTAATAAATCCATATAAAACAGTCCCTTAAAAGTCACGTCTCGCTTTTAGTTTCAGGCTTTGGCGCGTTTTGCAATCACACACAAGCATACCGCCCAAAGCCCAAGTGAACTGCGCTCAGGCACACCTCTTCCAACCGGGCCAGGGCCAGCCAAGTGAAGCCCAACGAGCCCAATTCAGCACACTCACACTTCTCAAACAATCCAGAAAACGGGCCTGGGCACGGTTCGGATAGCATAGTGTGAGTACGCCCTAAAGCAATGTCCACTGTGCTGACTCTGAGCGAGAGCAATTCTCTTCCTGTTAAACTAAACAGTCACATCATCAATGACATGCTGCGGCTCTGAAGGTGAAACACAGTGTAAGTGCAGGCCGTCAGGGGAGAGGAGAGGGGCACAATCGCATTTCGGCATGATTCAAGGCAACCATGCCTAGTGTGAGTACGCCTTCAAACTAATTATCATTTTTTTTAAAGTATTGTTTATTTTCACAGATTTTTTACTTGATAGATTACAATCTTAAACCTTTCATATTCTTTAAAAAATGCAAAAAAGAACATAACATACTTTCACATTAATTTACTTAAAAAGGAACCAAGTAACACATTTAGTTACTTTTTTAAAGTGACTAAAAAGTGTAATATATTACTTTTAAAATAACTTTACTACACACTGCTTTTACTACTAGATTAATATTTATATTTTATATGTACTATTTCAGATATTTTAGTACATAACGTTAACATAAGGAGCACAGTGGCTCAATGGTTAGCACTGTTGCCTCACAGCAAGAAGATCGACGTGGGTTTTCTCTTGTTGCTCCGGTCTCCCTCACAGTCCAATGACATGTGCCATAGGTGAATTTGATTGACTAATTGGTCGTAGTGAATGAGTGTGTGTGTGTGAGTGTATAGGTGTTTTCCAATACTGGGTCGCAGCTGGAAGGGCATTCGCTGCGTAAAACATATGCTGGAATAGTTGGCGGTTCATTCCACTGTGATGACCCCTGATAAATAAGGCACTAAGCTGAAGGAAAATGAATGATGAAAGTTAAATTAACTGAAAGTGAGATATGTTGCTCTTTAAATTGTTTCTTTTTTAAATTCATTCAAGTTAGCTAACTATAATGCACGATGCGTATTTATTATGAAAAAGTGTAAAAAAAAATCAATTGTAATAATTTGTAGTTGCAAGCATAAAATTCACATTAAGTTTAGGTATACAAAATTATAAGAATCAGACTTTATTATTATTTTAATTGTTTCATTTTATTTTAATATGTATATATTGTATACTATTTCAAGATTAGTATTAGTTATTTTAGAGCAACAAGTAAAGATAACTGAAAGTGATAAATGCTGGTCTTTATACTTGATCATATTTCAGTTCATGCAAATAAAAGTTAATTAACTACAATAACCCTGTGTTTGTATTACGAAAAACTGTACAAAACACTTATAAATTGCAGTTGCTAGCACAAAATTCACATTGTAAGAATATAAAATTTATCAGAATCAGACTTCATTATTATTATTTGTTTCATTATTATTATTATTATTATATTTAAGGGTTTTCGTAAGTTCCTCACATTTGTAATTTTCACTATTTTAATATATTTTACACCAGTGTTTCTCAACCACAGTCCTGGAGGACCACCAGCTCTGCACATTTTCCATGTCTCCTCAACCAAACACACCTTATTCGGATCATCAGCTCATAAGAGAGACTGAAAGAGCTGTAATGAGAGTGACAGACAAAAGAGACATCCAAAACATGCAGTGTTGCTGAACCTCCAGGAACATGGTCGAGAAACACTGCTTTACACTACTTCAGGGTTATTATGAGTTATTATAGTGTATCAAGTTAAAATACTGAAATTAAGAAATGTTGCTCTTTATATTTGATTTCATTCAGTTCATTCACATAAAAGATTCAAGTTAACTAACTACAATAACCCTGTGTTTATATTATGAAAAACTGTACAAAACACTTACAGATTATAGTTACAAGCACAAAATTCACAGGAAGTAACAAAAATGATCAGAATCAGACATTATTATTAATTGTTTTGTTTTTATATTTAAGGATTATTTTTCAAAATTTTCTCAAATTTGTCACTTTTACTATTTTAATATGTATAATTTACACCAGTGTTTCTCAACCACATTCCTGGAGGACCACCAGTTCTGCACATTTTCCATGTCTCTTCAACCAAACACACCCGATTCAGATCATCATCTCATTAAGAGAGACAGAAAGAGCTGTAATGAGTGTAACAAACAAAGGAGACATCCAAAACATGCAGTGCTGGTGGTCCTCCAGGAACGTGGTCGAGAAACACTGCTTTACACTATTTCAGGTTTATTATGAGTTATTTTAGTGCATCAAGTAAAGATAACTAAAAGTGAGAAATGCTGCTCTTTATATTTGATCATATTTCAGTTCATTAAAATAAAAGTTTCAAGTTACTAGCTACAGCACCCAGAGTTTATATTATAAATTTATATTTTGTTAGCACAAAATTCACAATAAGTGTACAAAATTATGAGAATAAAACTTTTTTTTATAAAATGTTTCAATAATATATTTAAGGGTTTCACAATTTTCTCACATTTGTCACGTGTACTTCTATTTTAATATGCATATTTTATAGTATTTCAGCTGTAACTTAGTATTAAGTTAGTGATTTTAGTGCATCAAGTTGAGATAACTGAAAGTGAGAAATGCTGCTCTTTATATATGATCTTATCCAGTTCATTCAAATGTACTAACTACAATAACCTTGTGTTTATACGAAAAACTGTACAAAACATCTATAAATTGAAGTTGTAAGCACAAAATTCACAATAAATATACAAAATAATGAGATTCAAATTTTGTTAATATTAATTGTTTCACTATTGTTATCATATTTAAGGATTTTCCGTAATTTTCTCACATTTGTCACTCCCTATTTTAATATGTACTTTACACCAGTGTTTCTCATTTACCACCAGTTCTGCACATTTTCCAAGTCTCTTCAACCAAACACACACGATTCAGATCATCAGCTCATTAGGAGAGACAGAAAGAGCTGTAATGAGTGTAACAGACAAAGTAGACATCAAAAACATGCAATGTTGGTGGTCCTCCAGGAACGTGGTCGAGAAACACTAGTTCAGGTTTATTATTAGTTATTTTAGTGCATCAAGTAAAGATAACTGATAAGTAAGAAAATGCTGCTCTTTATGTTTCATCTGATTTCAGTTCATCCAAATAAATGTTTTAAGTTAACTAGCCACTGTGTTTATATTATCATGTAAAACTCTACAAAATATTTATAAATTGTAAAAATTGCTAAATTTACATGAAGTATATAAAATTATCAGAATTAGACTTTATTATTGTTATTTTATTTAATGATTTTGGTAATTTTGTCACATTTGTCACTTGTACTATTTTAATATTATACTATGTCAGTTTTAATTTAGTATAATAGTTATTTAGAGCATCAGATTAACATAACTAAAGTTTAAAATGTTGCTCTATATGATCTTATTTCAGTTCATTCAAATAAAAGTTTCAAGATAACTAACTAGCCTCGTATGTAACTTAACTAGTTGTTTGCAAACAACAAAGTTAAACAAAGTCAACAAACATTTCTGCATCACAGTATAGCCTATCTAGCATAACGCTTGTGACAACTAGCCCCTATGTAAAAAATATACAAACAAAAACGTACCTGACCATCTATCTAGTTAACTCAGCTTGTCCTTAGCTCACCGAATAGATTGTATCCCCAACAGAGCGCCTTGTGTTTGGCCAAATCAGACATGTGTGGCTCCTGTATATTTGGCGTCGGCTGCAGGATTACAAAATGTCGAGCTCCTATTTTGGTCTCAGTTGAAAGCCGGAGACTTGCTGCTGTCACCAGCTATAGAGTGATCCAACACAGCCGCGTCTTTCAGCCTATGTGACCAGTCGAGCATCCCAGCATTAATAAGACACAATTTTACCGCTTTCCGACTGAACTGAGACACAATACTAGCTAGTGTACACGTTTTAGTGTTGATCGTAATCCTAATCTGGATTAAAGCGGCGGTTGCATAATAACTCGCCTGCGTGAAACGGTACCAAGTGGCGACCACATTCAACATCAGGAATTAATCCATTCCCAACGTTTTCTTTTTTATAGCTTGCCGACGACGAATTATTGGTGTCTACTAGTTAGCATTAAGTCCACAGGGTACACGAACAGGACTGAAATAACTCCCGGTTACCATGGAAACAGTGTGTGAGGGGTCAGTGGATATAATAAACGGCGCCCTTTTTCTGTTTGATTAGGATAACATTTTTGTCATGTATTTTTCCTTGAGATGCTAAGAATTCCCCTCTGATAAATGTTTAATAACTTGAGTAGTCTGTGTAAATTGAGCACGCTCTGTGACCTCGGGATGAACACATTAGTCCTAACAATGTTTGCTAAGAACAGCTGGTGTTCTTGGAACATTTAGTTTAGGGTCATGAGGAAAAAATACTAAAAATAACTATTATGAAGAAGAGTAAATCCTAAAAATAACTATTAAATGTACTCTGTATTAATTCCAGGAATGTGTAAAGAACTGTTGTAGGTAGGCTATAAATTTTGACATTAAACACCCTAGGTCATGAAACTAAAGTTAATTTAATAAAGACACTGCTTTAGTTGTCAGGTGACCCTATAAACAGCAGCCTGTGTGGCTTATTTATGAGTATCTGGCTTTGAGAATGGAAAAATGTTAGTTGATTTTTGAGTGGACTCAAAGTAGTTTGAGAAATGAGCTCCCTGCTGAAAAATCCAGTTTAAATCAGCCCAGTTGGCTGGTTTTAGCTGGTCGACCAGCCTGGTTTTAGGGGTTTTGGCAATTTTCAACCTGGTTTTAGCTGGTCAGGCTAAAGATGACCAGCTAAAACCAGCTAGACCAGCCTAACCAGTCTGGGAGCCCATGCAAAACCAGCTATATCTTAAACCAGGCTGATTTTAGCTGTTTTAAGTTGGTCATTTACCAGTTTGATCAGTTTAGCCCAGGCTGGAAAACATCCTGGAAATAGCCAAAACCCCTCTAAAACCAGGCTGTTTTTAGCAGGTAAATCAAGGTATTCCCTTGTGAATAAGAATGTCATTACATTTGTCATTATTACCAACATCATATGATGAGGATACCATTTTTTGATCATACTTTGTCAAAAACGTTATATTTTTTATCATACTTTGTCCAAAACGTAATATTTTCAGAGCAAAAAACATCATAAATTTACCAGGTATAATTGGATCACGAGTCATTTGTCCAGCACAAACCTTTTGTCAAATATATTAATAACATTAGGTTGAAGAACACCCCCAGAATATGAAGGATAACCAGCAGCTCAGTCTTCACTAGATTAAGCTGCATATAAAGGTTTTCCACCTCACTGATTAGATACTGTTAAATCGACTAGTTGAAATAATTAAAGCGATTTCATTAGCAGTAGAAAAGTATTTAATTAAATTTATCTTTATTAGTATAGCGGTTTTACAATGTAGATTGTGTCAAAGCAGCTTAATAGTAGAAACCATTAGCCTGAATGATAGGTCCCAGGTATCTTGTGTAAATAGAAAACAGAAGAGGTCCAAGAACTGAACCCTGAGGAACCCCTATGACCATTTAATAAGCTTTGAATACTTCACCCCTCCAGAAAACCCCTGTAAACTCCTGTGAAAATGGATAAGTTCATTACCTGTAACGCCCACAGATGAATGGTTTCACTGGTGGATTTTATGATCCATGGTTAACATGGTTAATGATTGCTAATCCAAAAAGGAAAAACAGAAGGTTGGGGCAGTCCCGAAGAGCCCTTTCTCATGATGAAAGTCCACTTCATATTCAAGAAATGTCTATATTAGCAATATAAACTGGCATCAGCTATTGATTTTTACATTTTTAAGTGACAGAAAAAAACAACACTTTACTTCAAAATGAGACACCAGCACTGATGGTTATTGTTTTTATCAAACACATTTTTGTTTCTGCAATACAAATAGTGGATTTAGTAAACAGATGACAACAGAAACGGTAAAACTCCTCTTTCTACAGTACGCTGTTATTTTAAGGTTTGTAGTGATATGAACGAGGTAAGTAACAGTACGCTATGGATCTCAGTCCGGCTAGAGCTTTAGATGCTGGAATGTTAAGCGGATCAGGTCTGCTGGATCACTGTTGTATTTAGACGGTGAGCTGTGCAGCGTCTTTCACTAAAGACTTCAAGGCCCCAATGTCCCCCAGCAGAGAGGAGATGCCCATGCAGTACCACTTCTCACCACCACTGCTGCTGCTAGAGGCACTGAAGGACTGCAGCTCCACACCTGCAGTGGCCAAAACCCCTGCGGAAAAGATGAAAGGAGAGTAAAGTGAAGATGCATTCGAAATACTATGGGTGTGTCTCAACTTGCTTACTTCCAAACTATATCGTACGCAAAAAAAGTATGAAAGCAGAGTAGTTTGTCCGAATTAATAGAATTCGAAAAATAGTATGCGAGAAGTACCCGGATGACCTACTACTACCAGTGTTATTCTGAAGTGCGCATCTGATGCACGCTATGCTATACTATGATGCACTGGGAGAGAATTCATAAATGGGAGTGAAGCGACACAACTGACACGGGTAGGTCATGTCATCCATTCAAACTACTCACATTCATACTGTATAGAACGTACTTCTCTAACACCAGACTAGTAAATTCAAATTCAATACCTACCAAGTAGTAGGCAATTTATGACGAAGCCTATGCAATAAGTGAAATACAGCATGCTATCCGAGTAGTATGTCCGAATTCACAGTATTTAAAGTACAAATAAAAACTAAACCAACCATATGATTTTGTTAGTTATGTCATTAAGAGAAAAGCAATTGTGTCCTTATAATCCAAGTTTGAAATCTGAATACGCACTTCCTGTTTGTTTTAAGATATATTCTCAGATGACGTCCGTCTGTGGGCGTGGCTAACATATCTAACTATGCCCCTCCAACTGTCAGTTTTGGTGTCTGTTAGGTGGTAATAATTTTTCTGAAACTCTTTTCCTGATCTTTCTGAATGAAGTGCCTACTTTACTACACCTAATTGGCTCACAGTAGTAAAACAAGCCACGCCCACTGGTTTCTCATTTATTTTACCGTCTCTCTAGAAACTACGTCACAATAGGAAAAAAAAATAAAATGGTCACAGCTTCCGGTTCATGCGGAATTTAAATAGAAATAGGCAAGAAGAACCTGGATGACAGACTACTTTTATCAAAATTTCTTTTATTTAAAGTTTTTTTACACTGTAGCAGTGTTTCTCAACCACGTTCCTAGTCAACCACCAGCTCTGGACATTTTCTATGTCTCAACTCACCAGATTCCTATCCTCAGCTCATTAGTAGAGACTAAAAGACCTGTAATGGGTGTGACAAAGAAGACATCCAATAGATGCAGTGTTGGTGGTACGTGATTGAGAAACCCTGCACTATAGAAATTATGAACAGGAGTGAAAAGACGCAACTGACCCAAGTAGATCATGTGACAACAAATAGCAGACCTAGTATGTAGCATAGGAATTTCTTGGTCAGACAAAATGACTGTAAAAAATATGGATGACGCGACGGCACCTTTTCCTATTGAACGCTTTGAAGGCAAAACGCCTTATGATGGGCACAAACTGTTGCAAAAGACTGCTGAAGTTGGAGCCTGGGCATGCGTTGAAGGAACTACCTGATAGAGCCAAAGGCGGAGCCAGAAAATCAAGCTTCCAACCAAACGCTTGTATGTCATGATATACAACTTAAGTACTTAGAATTATTTGACAACGTCATCACTGGCAACGCAAACAAAATGGAAACTTAATTTGTGTTGATTTCAAGTGATGTGACAGTGTATAGATGTTTTCCAGTACTGGGTTGCAGCTGGAAGGGCATCCTCTTTGTAAAACATATGCTGGATAAGTAAATGGACCGAAGGACCGAATTAATAAAAAAATAAACAAATTCCAAATATCTCCCAAGTGATGTTTACCAAAGCAGGCTTTATCTTTCCACATTATTTATCCTATTTTATTTTTCTTCCGGAGAAAGTCGTATTTCTTTTCTTTGGCTGAAATGAATGAATGAATAAATAAATGCTAAGGTCAAAATGTAATTTAAAAAGTCAGTAAAACAGCTTTTTATTATACTTTATTAAGTTTAGAAATATTTCTTACAGAATTTAAAATGTTAAAAATTTTGACTTGCACTGTATACAATTTCTTACAGTATGTATGAACTCACTGTGACTTTCGACTAATGACTTCCAATGGTTTGCAATTATTTATATCAACTTTCAAACATTATCTTCTAGAAATTACATTACTAAAAATCTGTATCTGTCCAATACTTAAGAACAGAACGAAAAAATACCAAAATTACTCATATTGAAATATATATATGAAAGCCCTGCACATAGTCATCCAAGATATTCTTGCAGTAAAAGGAATAGTTCCCACAAAATGTTTAATTCTGTCATTATTTTACTGCAAACCTGACTGAGTTTCTTAAGATATACTGAAGAATGTTGGGAAAAAACAGCCATTGACTTCCATAGTATTTTTTTTTTTGTTCCTACTATGAATGTCAATGGCTCCTTTCTCCCCCCACATTCTTCAGAATAACCACTTAAATGTGAATAAATGCTAAATAAATTTTCATTTTAGGTTGAACTTTCTTTTTAGAGAGCATTTGTGCAGAATGTGAATGAGTGTTTACCGGTTATGGAGGACAGGAACTCCGTGGAACAATTGGCCCTGAAGAACAGCAGGTGTCCAGTCAGAGGAACAGGCTGTCGAAACACACTTCCATTGAGCTCCAACAGCACAGGAACACCAGCCTGCACTGAACCAACAGCCTTATAACGGCTGCCGTTCACAGAGACCTCCATCACACATGCCTCCCGCTCATCCGAGGCCTTATGATCTGTGTGCACCTGCAGTTTGAGAATCCAACAGATTACCAGAGCTTCTGGGGGGGAGAGCACCATTGAGCTTGTGCTTTAAAAGAACACTCCACTTATTTGGAAATAGGCTCATTTTATAACTTTCCCAAAGATTTACCGTTTCGGAATCCATTTAGCCAATCTACGGGTCTGGCGGGAAGACTTTTAGCTTAGCTTAGCATCCACTTTTTTGTAAATATTTTATACAAAATATTTTATAAAACAATTTTTATAATTCCCTGAGTTTTACCATTTTAAAATCTATTCAGCTGATCTATGGGTTTGTAAGGGGCACTTTTAGCTTAGCTTAGCATAGATCATTGAATCACACTAGACCATTAGCATCCCCCTTTTTTGTTAATAGGCTCATTTTGTAACTTTCCCAAGGATTCACCATTTTTAAACCCATTCAGCTGATCTCCAGGTTAGTAAGGGGCACTTTTCGCTTAGCTTAGCATATCATTGAATCAGATTAGACCATTAGCATCTACTTTTTTTTTTTTTTTTTGGAAATATAGGCTCATTTTATAACTTTCCCAAAGATTTACCATTTCTGAATCCATTTAGCCAATCTATGGGTTTGGCGGGAAGACTCGCTTAGCTTAGCATCCACTTTTTAAAATAGGCTCATTTTTATAACTCCCAAAGTTTTACCATTTTAAAATCCATTTAGCTGATCTATGGGTTTGTAAGGGGCACTTTTAGCTTAGCTTAGATCATTAAATCAGATTAGACCATTAGCATCCACTTTTTTTTGTATATAGGCTCATTTTATAACTTCCCCAGAGATTTACCATTTTTGAATCCATTTAGCTGATATCCAGGTTTGCGGGAGCACTTTTAGCTTATCTTAGCATTGATAATTAAATCGGATTAGACCATTAGCATCCACTTTTTTGTAAATAGGCTTATTTTATAACTTTTCTAGAGTTTTACCATTTTTTAATCCATTTAGCTGGCCTACTGGTGTGGCAGGAGGACTTTTAGCCTAGCTTAGCAGCATAGATCTTTGAATCAGATCAGTCTATTAGCATTCACTTTTTTTTGGAAATAGGCTCATTTTATAACTTCCCTAGAGATTAGCCATTTTTAATCTATTCAGTTGAACTACGAGTCTGATGGGAGGACCTTTAACTTAGCTTAGCATAGATCACTGAACCGGATTAGACCATCCACTTATCTTTGGAAATGGGCTCATTTTATAACTTTCCCAAAGTTTTACCATTTTTGTATCCATTTTGCTGATCTACGGGTTTGTCAGGAGCAATTTTAGCTTAGCTTAGCATAGATCATTAAATCGGATTAGACCATTAGCATGCCCTTTTTTTCTTTTTGGAAATAGGCTCATTTTATAACTTTTATAGAGATTTACCATTTTTTAATCCATTCAGCGGATTTTCAGGTTTGTCAGGATGACTTTTAGCTTAACTTAGCATAGATCATTGAATCAAATTAGACCATTAGCATCCACTTTTTTGGAAATAGACTTATTTTATAACTTTTCTAGAGATTTACCGTTTTTTAATACATTCAGCTGATCTCCAGATTTGTCAGGAGCACTTTTAGCTTAGATCATTGAACCAGATTAGACCATTAGCATCCACATTTGTGGAAATAGGCTCAATTAATAACTTTTCTAGAGATTTACCAATTTTTAAATCCATTCAGCCAATGTTAACTTAGCATGGGTAATTGAATCGGATTAGACTATTAGCATACATTGTGTACTAAGACTTAGTTTTGATAATTTTCATTGACTCTTCTTTAGTTAGATCGTGTACTATGAACGATGGAAAATGAAGTTGCTATTTTCAACGATGATATGCCTAGGAACTACACCCTCATTCTCACATAATAATCAGGGGACTTTGTTATGGCTTCAGCAAGTACAATGATATTACACAATACTTGAAAATAGTCTCCAGCTAGATATTAGTGTGCCTGCTACAGCCATGGTACAGCAGCAGTAAATTTCCTTCTAACTTTTAAATGTGCATAAAACCCAACACTTAGCAGTCTACATGTGTTTGTTACCTTATATTACCACCATATTCAGCCAACTTGACCAATAAACATGATAAATTTACATACATAAAACATACAGATATATACATATCTTAGGTCTCTTCAGGGTGGGCTGGATGCATTTTTAATCTGTACATCCAGCATTTTATGTTCTAAAGAGCTACAAAGAGTCTTTACTTAGTAACGCATAGAAAACAAACTTGTGTGCGTGGTTTTGACTTTCTGCATCTCCTGTTTTCAAAATAAGAGTCTCTTATACATAAGGTTAATAAAAACTCCAACAAACTTAAAAAATAAGGAAGGAAAATTATCATTTCTAAATCTCAAAACACAGCCTGGGGCATGCAAATGTGCAACATATTAGTCTGTTTTGGCTGATGATATCCTGATGATGTGGTGCTCATCAGGTCTGGATGACGTAGAACGCGACCTAATATAAATGCAAATCTTGAGGACATGCCTCGAGAGCAACACAAGAGTCTGTATTGTGTTCTGATTGACCCGTTTTCCACCGGGGTTTTACACTCGCAGAATTTACATAAGAACGAGGAAATGTTAGTGATTGAGGCTCACAGTATGACCATTTCCATGTACTGAACACTTATTATTCGACTATGCCTAGGTAAACCAAGATTTTCTTTACAGGGCACCTTTAAATAGGAAAATTATCAAAGTTCTAGATTTTTTAAGCGTGATGCTAATACTCCATTCTGATTCAATAATTTATGCTAAGCTAAGCTAAAATGGGAAAATGAGTGTTCCTTTAAAAGATCATGTCATACGGTGAATACTAAGCAAATTTAGTATAATAAAGACCTACAGTTGTGACTTTAAAACTTTAAAAGCTTGTGGAAACCCTGAAGTAGTTCAGAAACCTGAAACTATGTCTTACGGTGATTCCAGTCTCTTTAGCCAGAGGCAGCGCATTCACCAAGTTGGGTCCATTATGAGGAGCTTCAGTGAGCAAACCAACAACAGCTGCTGAGCTCAAAAACCCAGTGGACTTCTTTAAAGCTTCACCTAAACAGACAAAATAAATGCATTATTGATAAAATCCATTCATCAAATAATCATAAAAAACAAAGCATTATGATTTACACTTGAAATATTAACACCACAATGTTTTAGAGAATTGTTATGCTGTTTTTAAAATGAGTAAATTAGCATATTAGAGGGATTTCTAAAGAATTTGTTTTAAAAAAAAAATTGTATTGCACTACAGAAATAAAATACACTTTATATATAATACTATTAACCAGCATGTTTGTTTAAATGCAGCTTTGGTAAACTTGGTGGATAAGAATAGTATGTAAATATTCAATCCATAAAGTGCATTAAAATTGCATACACGATCTTACCACAAGATGGCATGATTGAACAACTGATGATAAAATGTAATGTCAACAATAACAGTACACTAGTGTACAAAATGTATAGTATTTTGGCTTAAAAATTGCATTGTGGGTTTTTTGTTCGGTGATATTTTATTTATGTTTTAATGCCGCATCAGCAGCATTGGCTATATTCATGGCAAAACCTATAATAAATATACAATATTTAACATGCAATCATACCAGTTTCTTAATAAACATTAATTGTACAAAAAGACATACAAATAACATCACTGAAAAGAGTCCTACACAGTTTTTTAGTTTGATAAATCATAAACATCCTGAAATTAATCCAGAAGACACCTTTTTAAAACATTTAAACATAACATATTTCATGAATAAAAACATTAAAATGTTTTATCGTCAAATTATTCTTACACAAGTCACCAATAGGTTCTTCTTTCCCTTTCAATAAGCATGAGTGTGTAAGTCTTAAGTCTATTGGTATTTGTATTGAATCATAAATCATATGTTGAGTGTGTCATTCCAGCCCTATAATGCAATATAATGTTTGACAGAAGCTGACATGTGAGATTACAAGCCTTGTTTGTCCTTCATTCTGAATAATTTACTTCTTCCTATTTTTGTTTTTATGAAATAAAATTTGACCATGGAAAAAAGACATTAGTTTTATTTTGCACAGGTATATTTAAGGAAATTGGCAATAATGTATTAAAGGGGTCAAAATAATATTTTCTTTCTTTTTAATGTCAACAATGATTAAAACATTAGGTCAAAGATCATGTTCCATGAAGATATTTTGTAAATCTCGTGCCATTTATTCATTTTCCTTTAGCTTAGTGGCTTATGGGGTCGCCACAGTGGAATGAACTGCCAACTATCCCAGCATATGTTTTACGCAGCGGATGCCCTTCCAGCTGAACCCAGTACTGGAAAACACCCATACACTCGCACATTCAAACACACTCATACACTACGGGCAATTTAGTTAATCCAATTCACCTATACTGCATGTATTTGGACTGTGAGGGCAACCCACACCAACATAGGGAGAACATGCAAACTCCACACAGAAATGCCAACTTACCGGCTGGGACTTAAACCAGTGACCTCCTCTATTGTGAGTGGCAATGCTAACCACTGAGCCACTGTGCCACCAATTTCCTACCAAAAAATATTAAAAAGCATTTTGATTAGTAATATATGTATTGCTAAGAACTTAATTTGGTTAACTTTAAAGGCAAATTTTCTATTTTCTATTTATTTTCTATTTAAAATATTTATTTTCTATATTTATTTTCTTCATTTAGATTCTTTTAATGAATTCTCAGATTCCAGATTTTAAAATAGTTGTCTCACAGCTAAATATTGTCCTGTTGAAAGGCATTTTTGTTCCATTTTAGTAAAAGGTGCTTTAAGGGTCACATATGTACACATCTTGTCCCAACAATAGTTATTTTTTTATAGTATGCAATTGAGTTAATGACAACAGTTTTGACAAGATATCTATGTGATTTGTTCCTTTAAAGCAGGGGTGTCCAAACTCAATGCTGGAGGGCCGGTGTCCTGCATAGTTTAGCTCTAACTTACTTCAACACACCTGCCTGGAAGTTTCTAGTATACCTAGAAAGAGCTTGATTGGCTGCTTCAGGTGTGTTTAATTGGGGTTGGAGCTAAAATATGCAGGACACCAGCCCTCCAGGACCGAGTTTGGGCACCCCGCTTTAAAGCAATAGTCTCAAACTCAATTCCTGGAGGGCTGCAGCTTTGCATAGTTTAGCTCCAACCACCTCCAACTCACACCTGCATAATAGTTCTCTAGTAGTCTTGAAAACCTTGATTAGTTGGATCAGCTGTGTTTGATTAGGATTGGAGCAAAACTGTTCAGAGCTGTGGCCCTCCAGGAATCGAGTTTGAGACTTATGTGTTAAAGCAAGGATGCCCAAACTCGGTCCTGGAGGGCAGGCGTCCTACATATTTGAGTTCCAACCCCAATTGAACACACCTTAACCAGCCAATCAAGCTCTTTCTAGGTATACTATAAACTTCCAGGCAGGTGTGTTAAAGTAAGTTGGAGCTAAACTATGCAGGACACCGGCCCTCCAGTTCCGAGTTTGGACAGCCCTGCGTAAAGCATAGGTCTCCCCATAGACTGCCATTCATATGCAAGCGAATGCGTCAGTTTCGCAGTAGCTGCAGTGCAAAGTTCAAGCTTGGTGAACTCTTACCTGCGAAATCGCATCACGTGACTACGTAAGACTAATTGAAGATCAAAACATGACCTCTCTGGACAGAAAATTTAAATGTGGACCAATCACTCGCTTTTTAAAACATCTAATCATCTTCTCATCTTGTTTAATCCCGCCCCTTTTCGCAGCATCGTACTGAAGAATTTCGAATGCTCAAACTCTAGTGCGACTGCAGCATCACCTGTAGATTTCAAACTAGCCTGAAGACCTTAAATAGCTTGATCAAGTGTGTTTAATCAGGGTTGGAACTAAACTGTGCAGAGCTCCGGCTCTCCAGGCAATGGCTTTGACACCTGCTTGAAAGGATTCACCCACCCAGTGATGTAACATGGAGCTGACTGCAGGGCTGTGTGGAAGCGCTGCAGGCCTTCAACACTTTGCCCATAGACTCTCCCAGACGAATCCACTGCTGAGAGTCAGGAGAGAAAGTACTGGCCAACACCTGAGCATTCACCTGAACATCACAAACATTGAGATTTCAACACACACATGCACACACAAACTTTTTTAGTTTCTCATGAACATCACCAGAATACTCTTTCATGTCATGTCATACCAAAGTATATTGTCTAACATTTAATAATGACGTTTATAAAAATGATCACATAAACTCCACAGAGAACGTAGGGTTAGTTCACTTGAAAATTTAACCTCAATCATTCATTTCTCACCCTTATGTCACTGAAATACACTTTGTTTATCTTACACAAATGGAGATAAAATTCAAGAGCTCTCTCATCTTCCATAGACAGCAATAGTCCAGAAAATGAACCAATATTATTGTCAAAACATCCTGTAATCATATGAAGCTCCAAAGACATTTTGCGCACTAAAACCCAATGTCTTCCACATCAGATCAGGCTACAGGCAATGCTAATGCTAATGGTAATAGGTCCTACTGCAAATGCTAACCTTGATGACCTGATGCGGCTAAGACAAAGGCGAACAAAGTCATTTTTTACCCCAAACAAAAGTGTTTTGGGATCTTCATATGATTACACTCGAACAACTGAAGACATATTTCTTGTTTTTGGTTCCTTTTCTGGACTTTCTTTAAACATCTCATGACCATTGCTGTCTATGGAAGACGAGAGAGCTCCAGAATTTCATAAATATCTTAATTTGTATGAAGATGAATAAGGGTCTCAGGGGATTGGAAATACATAAGGGTTAATACATTAATAACAGAACTTTTATTTTTGAAAGAGCTAGATAAAAAAAATATATATTTATTTATAAACACTCACCGGCCACTTTATTAGGAACACCTTTCTAGTACCGAGTTGGACCCCCTTTTGCCTTCAGAACTGTAGGTTCTAGGCCATTTAGTGATTTAAAAATAAAGAATTTTTTGTGCTATATACACTAACAGGCCACTTTATTAGGTATACCTTACTAGTACTGGGCTGGACCCCATTTTGCCTTCAGAACTGCCTTAATCCTTCATGGCATAGATTCAACAAGGTACTGGAAATAATCCTCAGAGATTTTGGTCCACATTGACATGATAGCATCACGCAGTTGCTGCAGATTTGTCAGCTGCACATCCATGATGCAAATCTCCTGTTATACATTCCAAAGGAGCTCTATTGGATTGAGATATGGTGACTGTGGAGGCCATTTGAGTACAGTGAACTCATTGTCATGTTCATGAAACCAGTTTGAGACTATTTGAGCTTTATGACTTGGTGAGTTAACCTACTGGGAGTAGCCATCAAAAGATGGGTACACTGTGGTCATAAAGAGATGGACATGGTCAGCAACAACACTCGAGTAGGCTGTGGTGTTGACATGATGCTCAATTGGTACTAATGGGCCCAAAGTGTGCCAAGAAAATATCCCCCACACCATTACACCACCACCACCACCAGCCTGAACTGTTGATACAAGGCAGGATGAATCCATGCTTTCATGTTGTTGATGCCAAATTCTATCCCAACCATACAAATGTTGCGGCAGAAATCAAGACTGATCTGACCAGGCAACGTTTTTCCAATCTTCTCATTTTGGTGAGCCTGTGCAAATTGTAGCTTCAGTTTCCTGTTCTTAGCTGACAGGAGTGACACCTGGTGTGGTCTTCTGCTGCTGTAACCCATCTGCCTCAAGGTTGGACGTGTTGTGGGTTCAGAGATGCTCTTCTGCAGACCTCGGTCATAACGAGTCGTTATTTGGGTTATTGTTGCCTTTCTATCTGCTCGAACCAGTCTGGACCTTCTCCTCTGACCTCTGGCATCAACAAGGCATTTGTGCCCACAGAACTGTCACTCACTGGATATTTTCTTTTTCAGACCATTCTCTGTAAACCCTAGAGATGGTTGTGTGTGAAAATCCCAGTGGATCAGCAGTTTCTAAAATACTCAGATCAGCTCGTCTGGCACCAAAAACAATGCCACGTTCAAAGTCACTTAAATCACCTTTCTTCCCCATTCTGATGCTCGGTTTGAACTGCAAAAGATCGTCTTGACCATGTCTACATGCCTAAATGCATTGAGTTGCTGCCATGTGATTGGCTGATTAGAAATTTGTGTTAACAAGCAGTGGGACACGTGTTCCTAATAAAGTGGCCGGTAAGAGTATATTGTAATAGTATACAAATACGTGGACGAAATTTAAGGGTACTAACAATTTTTTCCACATCTGTACGTAACATAAACAGTATTTAAAAATGGTAAATAAATATTATATAAGAGTATGATTATTGTAAGTTTATATGACATTTGTCACAGCACTGTATGAAGTCATTTACATTATAACAAGTTTATTTCTAAGACTACAAATTGAGGATCACTCACAGCTCCCACTAAAGCTTTTCCTGTGGCCATGTCCACAATCTGCAGGGCGATGTCTTTCCCGCAGCGAGCCTGTGCTTCTTTTGTGCTGGCACCCAGATGAGGACAGCTGATGACATTGGGGTGGTTGACCAGCGCCCGCTCTCTAGGAGGCTCCTGAACACCAAAAAAATAAAAAAATTTGCACAGCATGTTGAGTAAACATGAGGAAACTTAAGTTTTGTCAGTTTAGTGGCTAATTCGTAATTCAGTCATACGAAAATGCACGATTTAAAAAAGTCAGAGATGAGGGACTCGAGTCACATGACTTGACTCGAGTCAGACTTAAGTCACAAAATTTAGGACTTGAGACTTGCTTGACAAATATTCAAAAAAAGACTCGACTTGACTTGGACTTGACTGTCATAACTTGAGACTTGACTTGGACCTGAGTGAAATTACTTTAAAATTACTTGTTTTTGTTAAATACACAACTGTTTGTTATATATTAAGAAAAACCAAACCAAACCAAACAAAACAAAACAAAACCGAAAGTTACGCATGCGCAGTATTAACAGCTCATCGGTTCTCAGATCGGTCAGAAAGAATCAGTTGAATTTGCTGGACTGGATCATTCGGTTCATTAAGTTCATCACTTTAAATGATTCATTAGATTCATTTGCACATTCTTAACCCCATTATGTTTAACAAGCCGACAATGCATGTGGTGATATACAGTTGAAGTCAAAATTAGCCCTCCTGTACAATTTGAATTATTTTATATTTTTTCCTCAAGTTCTCTTCAATGGAAATAAGATTTTTTTTTCAACACATTTCTAATCATAATAGTTTTAATATCTCATTTCTAATAATGATAAATAAATTTATTTTATATTTGCCATGATGACAGTACATAATATTTTACTAGATATTTTCCAAGATGCTAGTATTCAGCTTAAAGTGGCATTTAAAGGCTTAACTAGGCTAATTAGGCAAGTTATTGTATAATGATGGTTTGTTCTGTAGATCAAAATATATAGCTTAAGGGGTCTAATAATATTGACCTTAAAATGTTTTCAAAAAATTAAAAACTGCTTTTATTTTAGCCGAAATAAAACAAATAAGACTTTCTCCAGAAGAAAAAATATTATAGGAAATACTGTGAAAAAGAATAATTCTGACTTCAACTGTAAATGCATTAAATCATTTTCCTTTATCAAGGTATAACTTAAAAGGATTGTTCACCCAAAAAGGAACATTACTTAGACTTAAGTGGTTCTAAACTTTAGTGAATTTCCTACTTCTGTTGATCACAAAAGAATATTCTGAAGAATGTTGGAAACCAGCAGCCATTGACATCTATAATAGGTACGAAAAACACTATGGAAGTCAATCGCTGCTCTATGCAACATTCTTCAGTATTTGGTCCTTTGTTTTCAACAGAAGAAAGAAACTCAAACAGGTTTGGAACAAGTGGAGGATGAGTAACTGACAGCAGAATTCATCTCTTGGGTGTGAACTATTTCTATAAGCATAATCTGATCGTCACAACTACAGTAAATGCTAATATGCATACTGTCTAAATTTCCTCATTGTGGATGATTTGCTTTCTTCCTGGACTTTCAGTATTCATTATCAGCTGCATGATACTTCTACCATCAGTTTTCAGTGTCTTCTGATTTCCCTTGTCTACACTGTGAAAAATAGCAGTAAATTAGCAGTTTTCTGTATTTAGTGACTTACCTTTTTATTTTTCCCCATTTATTTATGCGTTTGAATTTCATTATGGAATCTAGATCTTTCTTTTATTAACTTTTAACCTTGAAAATTATTTTATTAACAATTTTTAATAAATTAAAGTGATTTTTTGTCCTTGGGTGGTGTTGTATATTACACTATAACATCCTTGTAATGAACTTCCAGTTCATTTTCTGTTATTTTGCAGACTTTTTTCTCTTTATATAATTTCTTATATCATTTCAAAGTACTAAAATGTCAATAAAAGTCACATTGCCAAACTGTAGAGTTGAATTTTCAACATCAAAAGTCAACAGAGCAGAGATCAACATCCTATAATGCAATTCACAAACATAAAAAAAAAAAAAAAAACAGCAAACACTTGTGAATCACAAAATACTAGGGACGTAACAATATTGTAAATACCGTCATACCGCAATAGTAATTTTTTTCAATATTACCCTAGGCGCATGACTCAATAAAACTATATTGCTGAGAAAAGTTTGCTTGGGTGAATGAAGCGAACGGGAGGTAGCGGGAACTACAATTCCCATCATCCTTTGCGGTCTGTTGTCACTACAGATCCAGTAATGCGGAAATGGAGTGTGCTGCTAGTATCGGGGAAGAAAAAGAGCTGGAAATGATCGAACCTAAAGCTGATTTTAAATCGAATGTGTGGAAGCATTTCGGTTTCTTTCTAAAAAGATACGAAAAAGGAGAAAAGGTGACAGACAAAGAAAAAAACAGTATGCAGGCACTGCCAGACTGGTGAAATATAAGTCGGGGAATACGACTAAAAACAGTCATGGGGACTGCAGAAACACAGCACACTTGTTAGATTGATGCAGACATTGACTTGTACCGCAAAGAGACCTCTATCTCACTCATGGCTTGTCCTCTCAAGTGGTGGAAAGAAAATGCACAACGTTACCCACTGCTGTCAACCTTGGCTAAATCATATCTCTCAGTCCCAGAAACCTCAGTCCCAAAGGAGAGGGTTTTTTTTCTGTTGCAGGGGACATTGTAAATGCCCAGAGATCCCAGCTTTTACCAGATTATAGTTATATGATCATTTTCCTTAAATAACCCATCTCTATCTAAGTGAGTGAGTGATTAAATGTTGAATGTGATGAGTTTTCAACAATACTACATCGAAACTTTATTTTTTTATATGGTTTAATAGTTTTTTGTTATTAAAATTGAAAAATTGAAGTTCCAGTTTCGAAACTTACAGATAGATGGCTAATTTGTATGTCATTGATATGTTCAGTGCTAAGGTAAATAAACACTTTTAGCACTTTTTTCGAGTCTTTTCATTAGTCTTGTTTTTCCTGTAAATTATTCAATAAATACCGTACCGTGCCATTCATACCGAGGTATTATTGTACCGTGAAATTCTGATACCGTTACATCCCTACAAAATACAGAAACTGTTAATTAACAAATATTATTTTACAGTGTATTTATCAGCAGCACAAAGCTAAACTGTTCCCAGTCTGACCTCCACAAACACGTCCAGTCCTGCTCCTCCACACTGACCCGACTCCAGAGCCCGAAGCAGAGCGGCTTCATCGATGATCCCTCCACGGGCACAGTTCACCACCTTCACACCCTTCTTACACTTCGCAAATGAGGCATCATTGAGCAGACCTGTGTAGAAAAGGGTTTGATTTTACACTGGGAAACGAAAACAAGATATTCTAAAGAATGTTGGAAAAAGGCGACGCAGTGGCGCATTGGGTAGCGCGTTCGCCTCACAGCAAGAAAGTCGCTGGATCGCTGATTCGATCCTCGGCTCAGTTGGCATTTCTGTGTGGAGTTTGCATGTTCTCCCTGCCTTCAGGTGGGTTTCCTCCGGGTACTCCGGTTTCCCCCACAGTCCAAAGACATGCGGTACAGGTGAATTGGGTAGGCTAAATTGTCCGTAGTGTATGAGTGTGTGTGTATATGTGTGGATCTTTCCCAGAGATGGATTGCGGCTGGAAGGGCATCCGCTGCGTAATAACTTGCTGGATAAGTTGGCGGTTCATTCCGCTGTGGCGACCCCAGATTAATAAATAATAAAGGGACTAAGCCGACAAGAAAATGAATGAATGAATGTTGGAAAAAAGCAGCCATTGACATCCATAGTAAGAACCGTTATGTTTCCATCCAAATATGCAAATTAAATTTATGCGCAAAACAGGATTATCGCATAAAAGACGTGCAAATACAGCAGTGTTCCCATCCAATGAGTCAAAGAGAACAAAATCGTCACTTCCTGATTAACTGGCACCAAATATCAACTGTAAAAACGAAATCTGCTGAGGTAGGAGAGTTGCTTGTGGCATCGTCTTCTGAGACGCAAGTCATTTATTAAATGGAAAAAAGATTGACGCAAAGATTGAAGCTTCTCCTACTGCAGCAAATTCAGTTTTTACTGTTGATATTCGGCACCAGTTTACCAGGAAATTATGATTTTCTTCTCTTTGACTTGTTGGATGAAAACGCTGCTTTATTCGCATGTCTTTTATGCGATAATCCAGTTCTGCCCATAAATTTAATTAGCATCTTTACATGGAAACATAGCTAATGACTGCTTTTTTCCCCAACATTCTTCAGTATATCTTCTTTAGTGTTCAACAGAAGAAAGAAACTCAAACAGGTTTGGAACAAGTAGAGGATGCATAAATGATGGCAGAATTTTCTGTTTTGACTGAATTTACATTTTAAATCTGCACTCCAGCTTTTTTAGCATGCCACTCTACAGGGTGGGCCATTTATATGGATACACCTCAACAAAATGGGAATGGTTGGTGATATTAACGTCCTATTTGTGGCACATTAGTATATGTAAGGGCAAACTTTTCAAGATGGGTGATAACCATGGTGGCCATTTTGAAGTCGGACATCTTGGATCCAACTTTTTTTTTTCAATTCGAAGAGGGTCATTTGACACATCAAACTGATTGGGAATTTTACAAGAAAAACAATGATGTGCTTGGTTTTAACGTAACTTTATTCTTTTATGAGTTATTCACAAAATTCTGACCACTTATACAATGTGTTCAGTGTGATGCCCATTGTGTTGGATTGTCAGTGCAACCCTCTTCTCCCACTCTTCACACACTGATAGCAACACTGCAGGAGAAATACCAGCACAGGTTTCCAGTATCCGTAGTTTCAGGTGCTGCACATCTTGTATCTTCACACCATAGACAATTGCCTTATGACCCCAAAGATAAAAGTCTAAGGGGGTCAGATCAGGAGACCTTGGGGGCCATTCAACTGGGGGCCAATCTACTTTACAGAAAACTGTTCATCAAGGAATGCTCGGATCTGACACCCATAATGTGGTGGTGTACCATCTTGCTGGAAAACTCAGGGAACGTGCCAGATTCATTGCATAAAGAGGGAAACACATCATCATGTAGCAATGTTAAATATCCAGTGGCCTTGAGGTTTCCATTGATGAAAAATGGCCCCACTATCTTTGTTGTCTATACAAGATACAAGATGTGCAGCACCTTAAACTACGGATACTGGAAGCCTGTGCTGGCATTTCTCCTGCGGTGTTGCTATCAGTGTGTGAAGAGTGAGAGAAGAGGGTTGCATTGACAACTCGATTATATATTTTTATTTCGCTTTTTCAAGAGTTAACAATACAGAACATCAAAACAAAACAGCAAACAAACTAAATTAAAACATACACCGTATATTAAATAAATAAGTAAAATTAAATTAAATAAATAAATAAAAAGGGAGGAGATACAGTATAAGCTAGTAGAAACAAAAACATTTTGTCAAATCAAATCAAGTGGTACTGTTTTAATGTAGTTCAAAAATGGATTCCAAATCTTTTTAAATATTTCATCCTTTCCTCTCAAAGAATATGTGATCTTCTCCAATGGTATTCAGTTGCACACTTCTGAGATCCACAATCCAATTGCATTGACAATTCAACACAATGGGCAGCACATTGAACACATTTTAAAAGTGGTCAAAAACTTGTAAATAACTCATGAAAGACTAAAATGGCCACCATGGTCACCACCCATCTTGGAAAGTTTGCCCCCTCACATATACTAATGTGCCACAAACAGGACATTAATATCACCGACCATTTCCATTTTATTAAGGTGTATCCATACAAATGGCCCAACCTGTATATTAAGCATTCTTATATATAATTAATTTACATGCAAGTATCTTAGAACCTAAATCTTTAGTCAAGCCATCTAAGAACCAGAATTTAAAATGCATATTAATTTGTCAAACGCATTCTCATGCGCTGTTATGACTGTATGTACCTGTGGTGGAGGCCATGAGGGGAGTGTGGACTGTGATATAATCACACTGCGGCCACAACTGATCCAGAGTCATCTGCTCCACACCCCAGCTCGCAGACACCTCTGGAGGAGTGATCGGGTCATAACCTATGGTCTATCAGGGATGCAAAAGATTATATTTATAATGCTTTTCAAGTCAAATCAGTTTTTAAAAAGGTCCCATGACAATAAAATAAAGTTTGAATGTTAGTATAAGTTTGTCGGTCTTAAGCTAGAGTGCTACAAAACAAAATTTGCGTGTATAATAATAATAATAATAATAATAATAATAATAATAATAATAATTCCTTACATTTATATAGCACTTTTCTGGGCACTCAAAGCGCTTTACACAATAGGGGGAATCTCCTCATTTACCACCAGTGTGCAGCATCCACCTGGATGATGCAATGGCAGCCTTTTAGCGCCAGACTGCACACCACACACCAGCTGATTGGTGGAGAGGAGACAGAGTGATGAAGCCAAGTATGATATGGGGATGGTTAGGAGGTTATGATGGACAGAGGCCAGTGGGCAGATTTGGCCAGGGATTTTTAATGACAGAGAGTCAGGACCTCAGTTTAACGTCTCATCCGAAAGACAGAGATCGAAACAATCAAATAAAATAGAAACAGGGCAGCGCGGTGACTCAGTGGTTAGCACTGTCGCCTCACAGCAAGAAGGTCGCTGGTTTGAGCCTTGGCTAGGTCAGTTGACATTTCTGTGTGGAGTTTGCATGTTCTCCCCGTGTTGGCGTGGGTTTCCACTGGGTGCTCCGGTTTCCCCCAGAGTCCAAACACATGCACTTCAGGTAAATTGAACAAACTAAATTGGCCGTAGTGTATGATTGTGAATGAGACTGTATGGGTTTTTCCCAGTGATGGGTGGCAGCAGGCACCCACTGAGTAAAACATATGCTGAATAAGTTGGCAGTTCATTGCACTGTGGCGACCCCCAGATTAATAAAGGGACAAAGCCGAAAAGAAAATGAATGAATGAAGATAGAAACATCCCATTTTTGCAGTTTGTCAATTCCGACTACGCTCAAAAAATGACTTTTGCTGCTTGTTCAAACTACTTGCTTAAAATTAGTTGATTTTTTTGGGACAGCTTAATTGTTTCATGTTCAATCTGCGTTCAGAGCAGATGCGTGTAAATAGATGCGTAAACATCACGAGTTTACTCGCTTCATTCGTGCGTGAAATTCACTTCACAACAAACGTGGATTAACGCCATGACTCTAGCTTCTTTACAAAATGAAGTTTCACAAACTAATTTCGAGAGGAGCACGTGATATGATTGACTGCAGCTGGCCACTCATCTACACTCATTGGCTAGCCAATCGGATTGATCCAAACTCACTATAAATAACCTAGCTAAGATCTACTCCCTTATCTTCGTTTCCCGAAGAAACCCCCCATCCAGCCCTTCTCCTCCTTTCCTCTTTTGCTGAGGGGAGCTCTCGAGAACACCTGACCTCGTACTCCCCTCACATGCTTTATGGACCTGGCGGGAGCCCTGGGCTCAGCTATCTCCGAGCTCAGGGTTCTCTCCCGGGACAGCATGCCAAACCTGCTAACTTGCTAACAAGTTGTCAAACAGTATCTAAGTGTGAACTCTTAAAATGTATAACATGTATTTTATTGAACGAGTAGCTGTGCTTGATGTGCTGTTGGAAAGCTGAAAACTAGCGTAGAATCGTTCGGCACCATGTCTGAGTCCACTAGATCCTTTATGCTGTGTTCACACCAGACGCGGAACACGCAGATAAATTGCGCTATTCGCGGGTAAATAGCCGCATGAACATTTGAGTTTACTCGCTTCATTCGCGCGTCAAACCCCGATCTATTCGCGCGTGAAATCCACTTCATTCGCGTGTCAAATTCACTTCAGAACAGATGCAAATTTGCGTGATGGGCAGGGCTTCTGTCTGCCCGGTGACTCTAGCTTTTTTGCTAAATGGCTAACATGGATTTTATGAAGAAAATAACAGTGTTTATGTACTTTATGAGGGCTGAAAAATAGTGTTGATACGATTAGGGCCGTGTCTGAGTCCACTACATGCTTTCAGAGGTGCATCCAGCTGTGTGAGCTCATAAACTCCGCCAGAAACTGAACCTGGATCACGGAGGCTTTCAATGGTGCTTCTGACTGAGCAAAGCCCAGTTTGATGACCTGTTGTCAGTGTTGCCTGGAGGATTTCCCCCAGGACACCATCAACAGGTTCTACGTCACAATCACACCCCCACAAGAGCAAGCTTCTGATTGGTTAAAGCGGCGCAAATGTCCGCTGAAGTTCAAATTTTCGAACTCGAGAGATTCGCGCGAGTTAAGCGCGTCAAACATGCAAAACGCTTAATTTGCCCCGCGCAATTCGCGCCGAGCCATTCGCGCATATCGCGCCGCAGGATGTCTATTTGCACGTTTGCATTGACTTACCATGTAAATCACTAACGCTTGACGCGCGTTCCGCGTCTGGTGTGAACGCAGCATTATAGGTGCACCCAGCTCGGCGAGTTTGCAACTCCTCCAGAAAATTTACCTGGATGATGGAGGCTTTCAGCTGTGCTCATGCATGAGCTGAGCCTAGTTTGATGAGCTGTTGTCTGGTGTCGACCAAAATGCGATTAATTCGCACAAAATCCCACCATTTGTGCCACCTCATTTACACAAATATTGCCACAGGATGTCTATTCACATCTTTGTATTGACTTAACATGTTAATCACTAATGCTTGATGCTTCCTCATGTATTCTTTACAGAAATGGATCAATGAATTTTTTGACATCACCTCATACTTCAGGTTCTCATCAACACTGACCAATAAAATACTCTCTAGTATCTGACATGCTCCGCCCCGTTCAAGACACTTCACATTTGCTGTGCTTGATCTCATCACTCTTACTGACAAAACTGTGATAAAAAAATAAAATGCTATTGGCTGTGTTTTTAAAAGGGAAGGAGCTACTAAATGCCCCACTCTATCTTCATGTTCAGTTGAGATTACGCCAAACATCGAATACAAAGTGCACATTTCAACTGACCTTTAAGGACACAGTGATCTTACCTTCATACCAAAAGACTGCATTCTTGTAGCCACCTCTTTGCCGATCCTTCCAAGTCCCACAATGCCAAGAACTTTTCCATACAGCTCTGAACCCATGAACTGCAAAATCATTAGCAAAGCTCTCAGTCATCTAGCATAACAATGCTGAGCAACACATTCAGGCATCACAATCGATTAGTGATGACTGATTGAACGCTGATGGCAAAATTAATGGCATACTACTCATCTCTGCAGAATGTAAGACTATGTATGTTGTATAAAAAAGATGAACATTCTGTAAGCATAGAACAACAGGATGATTTGCCAAAAAGTGCAATATATAGCAAATAAATAAATAATATGCATGCAATAGTCTTCCCACAAATGCAATGCCATTCATAGGGAAAATATGGAAGGTAATGAGGGCCAAAAGTCATGCATCAACATGCACACAGTTTGATAGTGTCACTGATAAATACCTATGTAACTGATGTCTTTGCATATGAGTTCATATGGAATGGATTTATGCAATGGTTCTTTGGCATACCACTGCAAAAAGTGCTTTTCTTACTTAGATGTTTTGGCTTGTTTTTAGTTCAAATATCTGAAAATTCTTAAATCAAGAAGCATTTTCTAGCCAGCCAAAAATAGTCTTGTTTTAAAGAAATAATGCTAAAATTAAGTGAGCTATCCTTAACATAAGCTAAATAATCTGCCAATGGTGTAAGCAAAACAATCTTGTTTTTCCCTTTTTACATAGGATTATTTTGCTTACCGCATTGACAGATTATTTAGTTTTTTTTTTTTTTTAAGGAAAAAAAAAACTTAATTTTGCCATATTATTTCTTACATTTGTACTCGAAACAAAGCAAAAATAAATAAATTAATAAATTAAGTACGATTTTTATATAATCATGTTTATTCATGAAGGATATTAATGTGGTATACCACCATGTGTACACAAAAAGTATAAAAATGAGCACCTAAACACAGCCAAATTGTGCATGTATTTACAGCCAAACTGAAATAAAAAAAAACACATTCATCAGTGCTGCCTTCATATAGAAAACATGCTCTTTTATGACCCGTTTCCACTGAGCGGTATGGTATGGTACACTTTTATGGCTGTTTCAGTGTCGAAAGGTACAAAAAGGCGGCCGAAGAGCAGAACAAATATGGAAGGAGATTGATGCCTAAAGTCAATGAAACTACTGTTTTCCAGAGCAAATTTGCATATGCACTGAAACATCTTAAGTTTTATTACATTCTATCAAACTGGCACCTAAACATGGTCCTTAAATAAAAAGGTGCACATACCTTTTTACGATCCCATTTTCCATCTTTCATTGAAATGACAGCTTGAGGAATATGTCTAAGAAATTCAGAAAATATGAACAATATTTAATAAGGTATTAAAGTTGATTAGAACATCATTAGAACAGATAACATTTGCAATAGCTTAAAAAAAAAAACGGCACGGTGGCTCAGTGGTTAGCACTGTCGCCTCACAGCAAGAAGGTCGCTGGTTGCAGCTGGAAGGGCATCTGCTTTGTAAAACATATGCTGGATAAGTTGGTGGTTCATTTCACTGTGGCGACCTCTGATAAATAAGTGACTAAGCTGAAGGAAAATTAATTTGTTTATAATTCTGACAAGAAAAGTAACAAAGTAGTATAAGAAACTTGGAGTTTAGTAAGCTACAATACGCTTTGTAATCATGAAATTAGTTCTCATTCTCAAAATATACATGTGATTCCTTTAAAATAATAGAAAAGTACTATAGTAAACTAGTAAAATTCAGGTTTACCTTGACAAGCTCATCACAAGAGCACAGGTGAGTTCAGCAGCACTGAGTGTGTTTCCGCTTGGAGTGCTAAAAACATAAAACAATCATCATTTTCAGAAATTATCATATCATTCTGCTCAACACTTCATTAAAATATATATATATATATCACAAAGTTCACCCAAAATAGAAATGTCTAGAACACACACAGGACTGTATGCGAAGGCTGTGAATCAAAGTAACAATGCTACAGTAAAGATAATCTTCAATTTCTGGCACAGACAGATCATAGGGAGTCACAGCAGGTATCAAGTAAGTTTTTTTCTGTTTTTTTTTGTGTATTTATTTTACTTTTAAAGTGCCAGTAATCTTTGACTTGCATTTTAATAAAAATAACAATAATAATAATAATCTTTATTTTTAATAATAAATAATAATAATAATAATAACAAACAATAATAATAATAACAACAATAATAATTCAACCTTGTGTACGTTTATCATAGAGAGTCACAGCAGGTATAAATTTATTTTTCTGTTTTTTTTAATGGCTTTGAAAGGGCCAGTAATCTTTGGCTTGCATTTTAATAAAAATAACAATAATAATAATAATCTTTATTTTTATAAAGCATCTTTACAAGCAGCATCTCAAGGCACTTTACATTTGAAAATGTGCAGCAGAAAAAGATACATACAAGGATGAATGCAAAAAAATGCAATAATAAAAATTATTAAAACAAAATAATAATAATAATAATAACAATAATAAAAAAAAAAATCGAAAAAGACGTTATGAGTCACTTGGAGTGTTAAAAAACATAAAATAATCATAAATTTCATAAATTCTCATAATAAATCGCTTTCTTCACTAAAAATTAATAATAATAACAAAAATGTATTTCCAGAACATTCTGCTCAAAACTTCATTAAAATGTTTGTTTTATTTAAAAAAAAAACTAAGTTTACCCAAAATAGAAATGTCTAGAACACACACAGGGCTGTATGTGGAGGCTGCGAATAACATTAATAATGCTGCAGTAAAGTTAATCTTCAATTACTGCCACAGACTGATTGCTTTGGTTTTTAAGACCTCAATTTATCATAGAAAGTCACAGCAGGTATCAAGTTAGTTTTTTTCCTGTTTATTATAATTTTTTTGTGTGGCTTTTAAAATGCCAGTAATCTTTGGTTTGCATTTTTATAATAATAATAATACTAATAATAATAATTCAAATGTGCATGTTTATCATAGAGAGTTACAGCAGGTATCCAGTTACTTTTTTCATGTTTTTTTTTTTTTTTTGTGGCTTTTAAAGTGCCAGTAATCTTTGGTTTGCATTTAATAATAATAATAATAATAAACTTTATTTTTATATAGCACCTTTAAAATTAGAATCTCATAGCACTTTACAGATATATAAAATGTGCAGCAGTAAAGGATACATACAAGTGTAAATGCAAAAAAATGCAATAAAAATTATTTTAAAAAATAAATAAATAATAATAATAATAATATTAATACTAGATCTAAAAAGATGTTATGAGTCACTAAAGACCACAGTTTGTACAAAACATCACAGTTTTAAATAAAAGTAGTTTTTGTATTTCGGGTGAACTATCCCTTTAAGAATAAATGTGCTCAACTAGAGCAACCTGCTTTAGCACAGGCAGAAAACAGAAGAGAGGCCAGAGCGAGACTCAACACGCTTCATTACTTCATGACAATGATGCCTCTCTTGGTTGCCGCATCCACATCCACGTTGTCGACTCCTGTTCCGGCTCGGCCGATGATCTTCAAGCTACTGCCAGCATTGATGACATCAGCGGTAACTTTGGTCGCTGATCGGACTATTAAACCATCATAATTCTTGGGGGAAAAGATTTAGGAAGTGTTATTACGTTTATCCCAAACTTTTAACACAAAAGCAGAATAACAACAGTAAAAGTGAAACATGCACTTAGTACTAGGCCTGTCATAATAATCAATATATTGACTTATTGTGCAAAACATGGACATGACCTCAATCAATTGTAGTGACGCAGTATATATCGTACATCATGTTTAGATAAAAATTCATATCTTAAACATTTTATCTGAATGTGCAGCTTATGTCATCTCATCTAATCTCCCCCGGAGGTCCCAGCGAGTTCAGAGAAACTTTTTTTTTTTTCAAACAATGTTTACTGATAGGTGAGGAAAAGGTGATTTTTCAAATTTGCCTGAAAACGTTTTAGGAGGTGTCCAAATGAGCTCTGTTTTAAATCTGCATTCCACTTCCAGAAAATTGACGATATAAAGAATAACTAACATTTTTACAAGAACATTTAAATGGCGTTTTTGTCCCTTTAATGTGTGCCTGACAACAATCTTGTCTTCAATCCCAGTTGTAAGAGCAACAAACAACAGCTTGACATCTAGTTGAACATTTGGAAAAGCTGAAACATCTGCTGAGCTGCATCCCAATCATCACAAATACTGCAGAAGACCTACTGGAATCCGCAGAGACCCAAGATTCTCACAGAAGTCAGTCAAGTTTGGAGAAGGAAAAATCATGGTTTGGGGTTACATTCAGTATGTAGGTGTGCGATGCAAAGTGGATGGCAACATCAATAGCCTGAGGTATCCCTTTCCCATACTTCAGCCTCCACATCAAAGTTCCTGAAAACAAAGGTCAAGGTGCTGCAGGATTGGCCAGCCCAGTCACCAGATACGAACAATATTGAGCATGTCTAGGGTAAGATGGAGGAGGCATTGAAGATAAATCCAAAGAATCTTGATGAACTCTGGGAGTCTTGCAAGAATGCTTTCTTTGCCATTCCAGATGACTTTATTAATAAGTGATTTGAGTCACTGCAGAGATGTATGGATGCAGTCCTCCAAGCTCATGGGAGTCAGACACAATATTCATTCTGTCTCCACTGCATGACTTTATATTCTAGACTGGACATTATTTCTGTTAAGTGAAAAGACTTTTGTCTAAGCAAAGTCAGACCTTACTGTCCTAATTAAATCATTAAAAATCAAGATATGATCATATTTCATTTTGGTAAAATAAGTGTAATCTAGAGGCCTTTGTCTTTCATTTAACCCACTTCTGATACCAAATGATCAACTAGAAGTCAAGTTATTATTTATAAGTTATTATTACTCATTGTTCCTAAAACTTGGATAGGCGACAAGACTTTTGTCAGGTAGTGTATAACATATAAAAGCAGGTATGAATCTTAAAATGACAGTAATATCACTTATTGCAATAATTTCTACAGCATCACGCAACAAATATTACTCATCATGACAGGCCTACTTAGTACTGTCCATGCTTTCGGAACTAAAAATCTAGTGTGTGTATATAAAAACAAATTGCATGCATGCAACATCCCATTCTCGTCTCAAATACACATTTCAAGAGGGACTTTATATACAAAGAAAGCAAATTAAATGCAAGTAAAGTGTCTACTTTATTACATTTATACTGTTTTTAGAAACTATTGTTGACAAACAAGTAAAAATAATAGTTGCTTGAAGTATTGTGGCATTTAAAAATCATAATTAATTAGTATTAAGACGCCAAAATTCAAATAAATGAAATAATTTTTATTAGACATTTAAATGATTGCCTGGGTGACCATTTTCTTAGCTCTAGAATCCAACAGGTTAAAATGGGAGGTTTTATTTCAGATAAAATATGCGCTTCAGCTGGAGCTCCCCAGGGTTGTGTTATTATTTATTGTATATACAAATTCTTGTATGAGTTCACTTAAATCAAAGATACAGTATATTGTAAAGTATGCAGATGACACTGCTTTGGCGAGCCTTTTAAATGAAGAGGCGGATGAACATGGGCCTGTTTTTGACTTCTTTTCAGACTGGTGTGAAAAACCAAATCTTATAAATATTTCTAAAACCAGTAGATGGTTATTGATTTTTGAGAGTGAGCACAAAGCCAAACTCACCTCACATTAATTAATGGGGAGTACATTCAGTTAGTAACATATTATATAAATTTGGGTGTGATGTTGGACAATAAACTTAAATGGGACATATGGACTGACCGTATAGGCTAAAAGCTTCAACAGAGAATATACTTCTATTGTCTTTTAATGTTGACAACACATTGTATAGTGCTTTTATCCAAAGTATTGATAAAACTAAAAGAGTATTGATAGTATATACAAAGAAAGAGTTTTCATACATACATACATACATACATACATACATACATACATACAATTGAAGTCAGAAATATTAGCCCCCCCTGAATTACTAGACCCCGTTTTTTTTTTTGTTTTTTTTCTCCAATTTCTGTTAGGTGAAGAGTAAATGAATAGTATTTGACTATAGATATTCACTTCTACACAGCTTAAAGTGACATTTAAAGGCTTAACTTGGTTAATTAGGTTACCTAGGCAGGATGGGGTAATTAGGCAAGTTATTGTATAACAATGGTTTGTTCTGTAGACTATCAGGAAAAATACATAGCTTAAAGGGGCTAATAATATTGTCCTTAAAATGGTGTTTAAAATTATTAACTGCTTTTATTCCAGCCGAAATAAAACAAATAAGACTTTCTCCAGAGGAAAAAATATTATCAGACATACTGTGAAAATTTCCTTGCTCTGTTAAACATCCTTTGGGAAATATTTTTTGTTATATATTTTTAAATATATATATATATATATATATATATATATATATATATATATATATATATATATATATTTTTTTTTTTTTTTTTATATATATTTATATATACAGCGGACATAATTTTTTTTGAAAAACAAAAGTAAAAGTAATTTTTGTTTGTTTTGATGCTTGAAAACCAGTTTTAATGTTTGTTTAATAAGTTTACATCATAATCAGGGGGGGAAGTGTTCTGCCAAGTAAATGATACATGCTAAAAATAAAAAATTAGGGAGTCTATATGCACAAATATAGTGAATATCAGCACAAATAAATATATAAATCTGAAGGTAATGTAATAATTAAACAGCAAATGCAGAAGTGAAAACTAATTCAAACAGTAAAAAACATCGGCAACTGCAAACTGATTGTCTACCTAATATATAATAAAACCATTAGTAGAGAATCGATTGAAATGATTCATATGGTGCAGATAGAGGCTGCTGTTGCATCAGACTCTTGGAGAGGAGGAGGAGGAGGGGTGACAGTCATACAAAAACTTCAGCACATCCAACAAACACACATAATTATATACATCTCATAAAATGCTGATTTTCCTGTTGCAGGACGCCATTCACTGGCAGCGATTCAAACTTGATAATACTTTAGAGGCAATGTGAATCACTTACCCGAATCTCTGCAATCAACTCTTCTTTAGTCATCTGCTGCTTCTCCGTCACCTCAATGCCATTTTCCTGGAGAACACTTTTACAGCAGGGATCGACGCTTTCACTGATTAAAACGCGTTTGACTGATATAGGAGCCATTATTATCGTGGACTTGCGGACTCGACTCTCGCTTCAAATGAATGATCGCGTGCGCGCGCGCCGCTGATTTTCGTAACGCTTTTTTCAATAAAAGAGAAACTCCGCCCAACCGCGCCTCCCAAAAAAAAACTCCCCCCCTGCCTCTGTGAAACAGAAGTAACACTGATGTGCCAGTGTTTTATGGCTCACAAGAAAGGAAAGACAGCTTTTAGCCCCTTCAGACCTGAATTATGATCCAAATTTTAGAGAAGATGTTTGGGGATGGGATGTTAGGAAAGACTTTAGGATGTAAAATGTTTGCTGTGTTTACATGATTGTGTAACTTGTAGTAACATGCAACTTGAAAAACTAAGAAATAAATTGTAAACAACTAAAAAAAAGGAAATGTAAAAGTACATTTACACTGTTTTTAAAGCAGCTGTACTCTAAAAACATTACAAACATGAAATTAACCATACAATAGTTAAGATGGCTGATTACTTGAAGTTTCTTTTGAAGTCTCTTAAATATAAAGAAGTCGCCACAGCGGAATGAACCGCCAATTTATCCAGCAAATGTTTTACGCAGCAGACACCTATTCAGCTGCAATCCATCACTAGGAAACACCCATACACTCCCTTTCACACACATACACTACGGACAATTTAGCTTACCAAATTCACCCATTGTGCATGTCTTTGTACTTGTGGGGGAAACTGGAGCACCTGGAGGAAACCGGGGAGAACATGCAAACTCCAACTGACCCAGCTGAGGCTCAAACCATGCAACCTTCTTGCTGTGAGGCAACTGTGGTACCCACTGCCCACTGTACATTCTAATAGACATTAAAAAAAGTTCACCCAGAACAAAATGATCATTTATTCACCCTTATTGCTTGTTTCCTCACAAAAGAAGACACAGTTGCACTGAAAAGTTTACACACCCTTTGAAGAATTTGTTAAAATGTGAATAATTTGAACAAAATAAGAGAGATCATACAAAATCTTGCTATTTTTTTTATTTACTACTGTCCCAAGTAAGATATTTTACATAAAATATGTTTACATAGAGTACACTACACAAAAATATAGCTGAAATTATTAACATCACCCCCTGCAAAAGTTTGTATTTTCAATACAGCGTGGCTTCCTGATGATCTACCAGTGCTTTGTGATGGTTGTTCATGACTCTCTTGTCTGTTCCGAACAATTAAACTGTCTGCTGCTCTTCCTCAATCTCCTTAATCTCTTGCAGATTCTTCAGCTTCCCAGCATCTTCTGCAGATTTGAACCCTTTTCAGCAGTGGCTGTGTGACTGTGAGATCCATCTTTTCACACTGAGGTTGATTGAGGGACTCAAACACAACTGTTAGAAAAGGTTTAAACCCTAACTGATGCTCCAGAGGGAAACACAAGGCATTAAGATGTGGGGGGGGGGAACTTTTAGAATCTGAAAATCAAGGTAAATCGCACTTAATTTGTGAACCAGGATGAATCCTAATATTTTCTGTCATTTTCAAAGGGCGGTGCTAAATGAAGGAAAACAAGATATTTCAACAAAATTAGAAAAAACTAATATCTTCATCCTGTTTAAAAGTTTTCACCACCCCCCTCAGCTCTTATTCTATCTGCTTGATTCTCATGTCTTTTAAGTATATGCATCACACAATTGCTCATTATTTGAGAATAAATGTGAATATAGGATTAAAAGAAGGTTATAATGGGTCAGCTGGACTAATTCTTTACACAAGCCCCAGCATCTGATCAATTACAGAGCACATGACAGAGCTTATACTATTACCATGTCCATCCCCAAGTATTTTAAAATATTATTTATGTATTGTTTACGGCAACAAGACAGTTAAAAGAAAAGCATAAAAAATTGGATGGCAGAAATTTGTGTGTTACATTTATGAGGCATTTAGAGAAATCCAAAGAAACTTTTCCCTCGGAGTGATTCTTTTCTTTGACTGAAACAGGTTTCTTATATTTTTATAACTAAATTTTAGGTTGTAAATGTATTTGTCTTTAACTAAAAACTTTGGTTCTTTTTTAGCAATCACTTCAAATGACAAGTGGCATTTCATTAAATGAGCAAGGCCTTTAGGTATGACCTTAATCACAGTATGAAATTCTTTGAGAATAACAGGGAAATTATATTTAACCATAAAGTCACCATATGAATAGAAGTTCCCTTGAATCAAGTAAATCACAAAGATAATTAATATCTTTTTCATGCTAATTCTTATAAAAAATCGATTTATTCTTTACTAAGATGCTGTTGTTGTTCCATAGCTTCACTTTGTGCGGGGAGAAATTGTGAACGAAACATAATTTCCATACCAAAATAGCCTGTTCATGAAATTTAGAGAGTGTTACAGGGAGTTTGGATGGAAAAAAAACTACAAGTTAACAAAAATTTGAGACCTCCAATCTTTTTATAAATATTATGTGGGATAAAGTACCAAATCGAATCAGGGGAATTTACACAGTTTTTACTCCGATTCACTTAGTGTAATTAATGTAAAAAAAATCAATCATGTCAAAACCACCATTAGCTTTTTCACCACAGAGAATGTGTTTCTTCAGACGCTTGTGTTTGTTTTTCTAGAAAAAATTAAACAGTTAACTATCAATTTTGTTCATGTATCATGAACAAATAAAAAAAGAAGGTATAAATGAGACCACCCTTCAGCTTTTAATAAGAGAACTCTACCAAGGCGGGTTAAATCTCTCTGAAGCCAATTGTTAAGTATTTGTTTTGCTTTTTTTAGTTTTAGAAAGGACATTTAAGTTGTTTTCTACATTTAAAAAAAAAAATATATATATATATATATATATATATTTTTTTTTAATTAATTTTTTTTTTTTATTGCATAACAAGAACAATAGCATACAAAAAAATAGGAATACAATGTTTGTTTTTCTTTGCCTTAGCCCATGTATAACAATACATCTACCTGCTAAACTGAATCTGCATGCTTTGGAGGAGAGAGGGGGGAAGAGTGAAAAGTGTATTTTCATGCTAAATTTCAAGTGTTTTTTCTACAATAAAAAAATAACAAAAAGGAATACAATGTTTATTTCTCACATCAAAGGAACACATCAGTTGTAGAAAAAAATACAAATAAAAAATAAAATCAAAAAATGAAATTTTTTATTTTTTGTCTTTTATGGGTTTCGATATAATGCTTGATCAATTTTAAACAAATAAATATTAGGCTTATCATTGGACCATCTTTGTTTGTGTACATGGTCCTTCCCATATATTATCATTAAATTAATAAACAAATTTTGCTCCAAAGTTTTGTTATTATTATTGTCCATCAAAACAATATCTTTACAAGAAAACTGAACTTTTAATTTTATAAGTTTAATATTGTAAGTTTATATTCATCATCAAACTAAAACATTTGGGAAAACATGCATTCAAAAACAGGTGTTTTATCGATTCCTCCTCTAATTCACAAAAAGTGCATGTAGATTCCATTTCTGAAAACATTTTAACAACTTCTTTCACTGGACAAATTAAATGTATTGGTTTATATGTCACTTCTTTAACTTTATTGGTGAGACAGTATTTACTAGGTAAGCTCTAACTTTTCTTAAGCTCTTTTTCCACTCAATTTGGTCAAATAGGCAACGCAGTGGAGCAGTAGGTAGTGCTGTCGCCTCACAGCAAGAAGGTCACTGGTTCGAACCTCGGCTCAGTTGGCGTTTCTGTGTGGAGTTTGCATCATCTCCCTGCATTTGCGTGGGTTTCCTCCGGGTGCTAAGGTTTCCCCCACAGTCCAAAGACATGCGGTACAGGTGAATTGGGTAGGCTAGATTGTCCGTAGTGTGTGGTTGTTTCCCAGAGATGGGTTGCGACTGGAAGGGCATCTGCTGTGTAAAAACCTGCTGGATGAGTTGGCGGTTCATTCTGCTGTGGTGACCCCGGATTAATAAAGAGACTAAGTGAGGTTAACAATATATTGAAGACATTTGTTGGATTTGTTTTCATATTAAAAAAATAATATCTTTTAATGTAAAATATTAACTAAGTTTTGTCCTTTTTAAAATATATTTGTCTAGATTCTTCCAGAAATTCTTTACAGCGTTGCATTCAAAAAACAAATGACAAAGGCTCTCTTTATCCGCTTTGCAGAAACCACAGATATCCTCCATTTCAATGTACTTTGATAAAAAACGGTTTTACTGGGTAAATTGTAGGTAATATTTTAAAATGGATTTCCTTAATTTTATTATTAATAGTGAATTTGAAGGTAGTTAACCAGCCTCTTTTCCAATTAATACTAACTATAATAGAGTTCCAGAAAAATTTGCCTCTAGGTGTAATTTTATTTCGCTTCTGAAAAATATTACAAACATGTTTGTTAGTACATTTTTTATCAGTCAACTCAACACCTTCTAGTTTTGGGTTTACAGCAGATAGAGAATTATAGCAAATATGATTTTTAACAAGTTGAATATTTTTTTACAGGGATAGATTTAATAACTGAATTAAATTCTCTAAACAATATTGGGAAATTGTGAGTACACATGAATTGTTCATAGGATAGAATATTCCTGGAACTGTCAAAAAGTTTTAAAAGACTATTAATATCTCTATTAAACCAATTTACTAAGAATAAAGATTTATTTAAAAAGGTTATATTACCATTATTCCAAATAAAGGAGGTGTAGGAGAAAAATTGTGACAGTAAAAGATTTTCCAAGCAAGAAGAGTTGGTTGATGGAATTTGGAGAGTTTAAAAGGGATTTAAAAAATATTATAATCACATTAAGCCACCTATTTGGTTAAAAAGATTATGAGGAATGGGGTTTCGAAGGGAATTGGAGGTGGATAGACATCTCTTAATTAAATTGACCTTAAAGGTCTTATTGATATCTTCAAAATGACGCATCTCCAGACCTCCTTCAGCGTGTTGTTTTCTACATTGCTGGCTCTTTAAGGATTCCCATGACGTCACTTACTTTTAATCGCTACTTCATTTGCAAGGTTGCTAAGCAACACTGTAACAAAAGTTGAAAGGGTTACCGAGCGACACAGTGGACAGACTCTGGACATGTTAACCATCGCTAGC